TCCTGCCATCTCGCATGGTGTTCTTTGCAAAAGTTTTCCGCCGTATCCCATGCCTGACGCAACCCTCCCCATTTCGCCGGGCTTGGGACCGGCACTGGGGAACAGTGCACCCCCAGGGGAGGGCACTGCCCCCCAGCGGCTGGGTTAGCCCAAGTAAAGAATCATAATGTCAAAATCTGAGAACGAATATAAATTCATTTGGAGTCTCATCAAGGTCTCCCTTGGCACTCTCTGTATCGTGCGTGACCCAGCATTTGATATCCTAGCAGAGAGCCACTTAATGTATGTATCGCATCCTTCTGCGGAAAGTCCGCCACAGGGCAACAGTGTCTTACGGAAAGATTCACATAATATGCCATTTTGGGTTTAAATTGAAGAGCCGATGTTTGACATAAAGTGACTTCATCCTGAGGATTTTCATCAGGGTACCAAAGTAGTCCAGTCGACACCCGAGGTCAATTGTTAATGTGTATGTATCATGCAGAAGGAAATGACATTGTGATTTTTTAAAATCTGTTTGAGAGTGGGTAACCTCTTGCCAGTAGATCTTGATGGGGGAGGTGCAGGGATCCTGGACACAACAGGAGATGGGAACTTTACCCATCCAGTCTGCCTCACCGCGAACTCCACAACACCTAAACTGATCAGAGGTGAAAAAAAAAGTCAAACTCAAATGCTGAGCAACACCGTTGAATTGGGCAGAGGTAACATGTTAGTCAATATTTCAACAATATCTGTTCAGAATAAGAACATGGAGTCAACAAGATGCCTTCAAGTTTTATTTGAGTGAAGAGATGATTACCAAGTGCTGGACGGCATCAAAATCCTCTTTAATGGTCTGGTTCTCTCCAGGACCGGACTGCCTGTAGACTGCCAAACTTTGTGTCAGGTCTTTTTCAAAGTATGTGTCGATCTGTACGGTAGACAGAAACTCAGTTATCTGCAATATCCCAGTTCCTTGGACAGTGAAGAGACAAATATCGCCTACGAGCAGAATCTGAACAATTGTTACTTGACTTGGCCTAATGGGCTTTTCCGCCATAAAAGTAATTCTGCGAGATCGCAAGCACTTCAGATTAGGGTCCCCGGAACAACAGAGATGTGTTTGACAGAAAAATAGAGAAGGCTGCTCTCTTTGGTGCCAGTGTGTTTACACCACAATAGTGTTTGATATGGTGACATTGAGCCATAAACACCATGAGCACTTGTGACCTATTCAGTCCCCAGTTACACATGATTCCTTGAGTTTGCCCACTCAACTTTGTTTCAACTTCATTATGCTCCGAGTATCCTGAAATGTCAATAATTGTGAGCGAACCTCATGTACTTATTTTCAGTTTTCGAAACACAGAAGAATTGCATTGAAAACATAATTCGCTGTCCAAGTTCAAGCAAAAGCTGCACATATTAAACGCTAACAGTATTTTCTTGTCAACTGTTTACACCATATCCTATTTTTAAAATTAATTTTGTCTCTAGCTAATACTGTATTGACATTATTGTGTCAAAGTGGCATATTAAAACCAGTTGACAAGAAATTGTATATTCACCCTTTCAATAGAAACAATGTATTTTTGTTATCCTGTAGCATTTTCTTTATGTCTTTAGCGTAACACAAAGCATCTGCTATTTCCGAGACATTCAGCATTAAAAAAAAACCCACATTTGAATGACTCATCATCAAGCAAAAGATGAAAAGGGCTCACCTGAAACCCCCTTTCTGGTAACGAATCACAAAATCAGATGTGGCTCACAGTTTCTTGTTCTCAGTGTTCCGTGGTGCCTACAGATGAAGCGAAAAGTAAAACGAGATGGGTAGAGGACAGACAACAAGCAGCGACAAATGTCAACTGTCAGAAACTGTGGCTTCTGTCCACATTTGCACAAAAATACAATGTGCAAACAAAAAATGAGCTGAATCAATTCATTGAGGTAAAGATCAGTGTCAAAAGAAATCAGGAACACTATCATTTACAGTTCAGAGTAATTCCATTGCCTAATGTATTAGGCACTAAATCAATTGGGCTTTCCCATGAATGGACATGATCAATGGTCAACAGCTTTGATGGTCTAGGCCACTTCTCACCTTACAAATGTTACTGTGCAAGAATGTTTTCATAAAAAAAAAAAAAAAAAAAAAACTACTGACATTACTGAGAGAAGACAAACTCTTTCCTTCCATATACTTCAAATAAATGAAAATAAAATGAGCTGTACTGTTTTGTCTTTGGTTGCATCACAAATGCTGCACACAAAGTTACCCACTATTGTGTAAAGACATTCTCCCAGGAAAGCCAACACCTTTTTTTTCACTCCACTATCATCACGCGCAACCATGGCACAATTTCTGTCTCAGGTCCAGTCTGATTAATTCTTGGACTGACCTGAACCTCTTGTTGAATACCTGATGTGTATCGTTGTCTCATCCCTTAAAGGTGTGTTTCACTTTCAAGTCTCCATGTTGGCTTTATTGTTCTTTGTTTCTGATTTTTTTTTTTTTTTGTCATCAGTCTTTGTTGATATTCTTTGGTTGATTTAAATTAAAAATGATCTGCCTGGCTTCTAGGAGTGTGTGAGTCTAAAAAAGTCTCTGTGACAAATTTAGGATGTAAAACAGCGAGATAGCAATGTGTCTTAAAAAATACAGAGCACACCATTTTTTTAGAATGAAGAAATGGAAATGATGACAGTTTCATTGATATATATTGTCTTTTGGCCCCCCCTACTGGTAAAAAAATGATTTAACAGTTTATAGATGACTTCCACAGCATGTCAACTAGCTGAAAAGAATTTAAAGCTAAACAGTAGTCTGTTTTCATCTTTAGGCTGACTGCGGGGTGTAGTGTGTGAATGTTGGTGAAAAGTAACAATAAAAAACTCCTGTGAGGTAATAAGATAAGAAACAAAACAACATAACCAACATAGATTACAGCTTCATTTATTTTGCCATTCCTTTTATACTATAGCAATCGAAAGCTGTTTCTCTCTTGGCCGCCCGGTGGTCCAGTGGTTAGCACGTAGACCTCACAGTACACAGGTCGTGGATTCGATCACGGCTCTGGGACTTCCTATGTGGGGTTTGCATGTTCTCCCCATGCCTGCGTGGGTTTTCTCCGGGTACTTCGGTTTCCTCCCACATTCCAAAAACATGCATGGCAGGCTGATTGAACAGTCTGAACTGTCCCGAGGTGTGAGTGTGATCATTGATGGTCTCTGTGTGCCCTGCGATTGTATGGCAACCAGTTCAGGGTGGCCCCCTCCTACTGCCCGAAGACAGCTGGGATAGGCTCCAGCACGTCCCGCGACCCTTGTGAGGATAAAGCAGATCAGAAAATGGATGGATGGATGAAAGCTGTTTCTCACCGAAGACTGTTTTTTTTCAGTATTTTTGTCACTGATGTTGCCAGTGTTTTAGACGAACATACAGGTTTGCTGGGATGTAAATGGAATATGTTATTTACATATTTATCAACAAAAGTAAACATTAATGACATTAAGACTTGGGAAGAAATGGCAATAATTTAATTTAAATATGCACTTGTAAAGTCTTGTAATATAACGTTTGTCAATTTCTGTCATTCACTTTTTTATATTACTTTTGTTTTTAAATTACCTTTGAGTCTTCAAAATTTGAAAAATATCCTTAAAATGTTTTACAATAAGTGTTGCAACTGTTAGATAGAACCCCCCCCACCAAAAAAAACAAAAACATTCAAATAAACTGGGCAACTCTGATGCCAGAGCACCATTATGCCAGAAACACAAGTGATTTAGTATGAATGAAATATCACACCAGAAAATATTTCAATTAGATATTATAATTGTATTTGTATTTCACCGAAAATAAAACTAGTTTCATTAAAATGTAGGCTCGCCCAAAGATTTTGACCAAAGTGATGTCTACAATTTGTGGATTTGATAATACAACTTGGAAACATGAAATTCATTCATTCATAAATGAAGAAACTGATGAGTATAAAAGAGAGGTCTAACTAAACAACTCATTAAAAAAGAGAGAACTTTATTCATTGAATTATTTAACATTGGACACACTTCCTTTCATTTTGAATACATTGTTATAGGCTTCAAAATCCAAGATCTATTTTCAGTTTCAAATTGTATTTTGTTCAAGTGCAAAACTTTTGACCCTAATTTAGCTCGAAATAGAACTACAAAGTAACAAAGTTGCTGGCGGTTGTAATATTACAACTCACTCGTGTTGCTAAACGTTGGACACAAAAACAAAGGTAACATTTTTGAAAAATGGATACGTTGACTGTTGCTGAGATAGATGTAGTGAGCAATTTACTCCAGAAGGGGGCAGTAATTCAATTTAACTGCATCGCAATACCCTATACAATTCTAAGGAAGAAGAAGCCCTACAAATACACGATACATAGACAGTAGACGGATATCGAGCTAGCAAATGAAGATGTCCTTTGTTGCGAATGACCATTTAACCGGGGTGTTTGTCGCTCTTTGACGGTGATAATGATTTCCGTAAGCTACATCCTGCTATGTGGGCAATTCCTTTTGTTAGTTACAGTAATTCTTTTACAATGTTTGGAAGGGATCCAATCCCAAAACTCTTCGACCGCAGATGTAGCTCCTGCTTCCCTTGGTCCTGGTTCGACAATTGTTCCTTTCTCCGAGCAAACCCTAGAAACTGTCAAATATGAAGTACCACTGGAAAGTACGAATTACACAGACGCCTTTGAGTACACGGGTCTGTCACCGGTCGTCCTCTGCAGTTATTTGTAAGTAGCCTCTGTAATGCTAAGATGCTAACACTAATGATGAAACATTGACCCATTTAAGCTGTCGGGGTATTACACAACATGCATTAAATACTCAGCTTTTATAATTACGTGTAGTTGGCATTATTAGCCTGTATGCATCATGTTTTGCTTTGGTGTGACACAGAACTGTACTTTTATATATTTGGCTCATTGTGTTTACAATTACTGCGTTTCCCCTGTGCAAAATACAAGTAATAATGGTTTCCAAGATGACGTTATAAATCAGACATTGCCAGCTTCCGTTCCTGACAAAGATAACTCCACTCCTGTTTTTTTTCTTGATAAAGGCCAGAGGAGTTCATCTACTGTCAGGACCCTGTGGATCATGCTGGAAATCAAAGCGCCTTTCTGGAAATGGGTCATGGGTGTGTAGTGGTAAGTGTAACTTGCTATATAGCCTAAAGTTGTGGTCATAAGTACACATGTGGGAAAGAATGGGATACATTCTTAAAAAGAACTGTTTGCTTCTTAGGTTGACTCATAAGATAAACATTTATCAATTGTCATACATTAATAAAGAAGAAAACTACGCATGTCACACTTTCTCATTTGTTGTAAAGTGGCTTGATAACTTCCAGTTGGCAAGTAAGCACAGAGGGACAGCTGGCACAAACGATTATTTTGATAATCGATTATTCACAGATCATTTTTGTGATTCGTTGACAAATCGGATCATATAAAAATTGCAGCATATTAGCAAGCAGCTGCTCTTACATAACCATCATTAGGTGCAAACTAAAAATAAAGACAAAATAATAATACATTGAACTTTTATGAAACTTCTCAACATGTACCAGCATTGCTGACATGCCCGGATTCTTAACTGACCCCTGGGCTGAACTTTAAGAAAAAAAAAAACGATTCTGTTCACAGTCTTGGAGAAATTACTTAATTTTTGATTGATTTTGGCTATATGAACGTTATTTTGCACCCCCAACCTCTCTGATATATTTTCTACCTACTAATAAAATTAAAGTTTGTTGAAAGATGCAAGTTTAGAATTGGAAGCGTGCCATCTTGCCCCACTGCTTCGCTGTGCGCGAGAGGTACCTGTCACTCATTCTTGGGGTAATGTAGTGCTGCGTAATCATATTATGACATGATAGGTAGGATTTAAAAGCATTCATCGTGCCCTATAACGGAACCGTTTTCATAATATTATTTTGATATGTGGGCTCGTTATTTGTTTCACGGTGGCAGCGACTCAGCCTTTCCAGCCTGATCTACTCAGTCTTCAAAGCTATTGTGTCAACTGGCTTGGTAGTCAGCGGATTTGAAGGCTCAGAGGAGTGAAGTTTGAATAACATACACTCAGGCAGCACAAGCTGATGTCATTTACATTGGGTTAGCTTTGTTACTGCAAAGGTTGCACCTGTGCATTTCACTCTTGGCATGAGTAATTTACACCTACCGTTAAACTTACATCAATTTTTTTTAAATTCTTGGTTTGAGCAGTTATGACTAGAGAGGGATACAAGTGATGATGTCGCAACATCGCTGCTCAATACTCGTTGCAAGTGCAATCAATCATTAAAATATCTGGGGAAAACACAAACATCTAGAAAACAAATAAACATATCGAAAATGTGCATCTCGCCTCCCAGCCCAACAGCATGTTCCAGCCTTGTTGCTCCACACATTTCTTTTACAGGACATGATTGTTTATATAATGTTGAATAATAAAATTGTGATGTGTTCAAATGCAATGTCAGTGTTTTTTTTTTTTTTTAATTCCCTCTAGACAAAAAAAAAGTACCTAAGTATACCATTCAGGCCCCGAATAGATAAGGACTTTCGTTGCGTGTAGTAGTATTGACAAAACCTTAGTGATACCTCCGTTATAAAATTATATTGAAAAAAAATACTCTTGCCAAAGCATTTTTAGCTGTGAATGTTTCATGACTTTTAAAATTGATCCGATATCTCTGTGCGATGAATATTGTGGAACTCACCGTAAATACAAAATAGCGAGGTCACACTGCAATAGATGAGAGTCGTGGTCACAAATGAAAATCTGCCATTTCGTGAATCCGGAATGTCAAAGTCCGGCAGGCCCAAGCTCTGAACCCCTGCTCCGATTGACCTAAAATTTGAGATGCAGTGTTGTGCCATCTCTATCAAATACAGCAAGTTTCCTTAAAATCAAAACATGCTTGGTTAAAATTGTCATTTAAAAATATAGATATACGGTATTTTATATTTTTTGGCATGGAATGATCCACTGATGAGTTTGAGGAGTGTATGCTGTGTGTACCTCTGACCACAACTTTCAACATGGGGTTTGATTGTTTTCTTTGAACAGCACCTGATTCATTGTTTTCATTGATAGTGGGGAGGACAGACGAAGAAAGAAGTGAACCACACAAAAGTTGTCTGCACTGCACTTGATGAGATTGAATGTGCCGGGCGCAGAGAATTCCTGAGAGGGAATGTACCCTGCATCAAGTAAGCTGCTGGATAGAATAGATGAAAGGCTGAAAAATTTACTTTCTGCCAACCTGATCGGCTTGATCGGATCAGCCTATATTTTGCATAATTTCCCATCACTGATTAGATTCGCGATCCGGCTGGTTGATTCCGAGGATGTTCCACGCTGCCATCGTGCATGTTTAAATCTGAACGATAGTTTGTTTTTGGCCCTTTTGTGTGTCCTTGTGAGCGAAAGACGGTGAAGAATGAGACTCACGGAGTCTCACAAGGAACGTGTCCCAACAGAAAGAGACATTGAATTCTATGGATGCTTTTGTCTGACCGAAAAACGATTCTCTATCTGACAAAGTGACTGCTGCGCAGGTGACAAATGTGTCTCGCAGCACGTCCAGTTAATCCGCTGAAGAAAAGAGTGGAGGCTTGTGATTATATTTTATTTTATATTACCTTCCACCTCTTCCAGCTCTGTTGAGTCGTGAATCCCCGGACTCATTTTGTTATTACAAGCCATTCAATATCATTTAACTTATTTTCATGATTGGCCTATTCATGAGCATACATCAGCATATGTTTAGAGGAATAGGGCATTGTTATCACAGTATACCACGTAAATAGGTGTGTGCTGGAAATGGGTAAACTACTGTCAGTGAGTCAGCCTGTGGGATGGAGACGTTGCGTCGCCGCCACACTGAGCGCTATCCCACTTTCCATCCATCCATCTATCCATCTTCTACCGCTTGGTATCTCAGTTTGTCCCTCAGAAACATACCCCTTGAACTTATTGGCAGGTTGTCATCCTAATTCACACAACTGGCCCGCCATCTTTTTATGACTACTCGGGCGAGAGTTTCTCAGAATCGAACATGTTAATCAGATAAAGCGTGAATGTATCTTTGCTCCATAAAGTGCAATGCTACATACACAGCAGACTACATTTTGAATTGAATTGAATTGAATACAACTTTATTGTCAAATGTGCTGTATACAGCACAGATGAAATTTCTTTCCACTCAACCACAGGAGAGAGAGGAGTCGCTGCAGGTGCCCACCCCGCCATCAAAAGAACAGTTAACATAAAATGACAAAATAATACAACACAGCACAACACAACACATTAGACACAGACAGTCGTGCAATCTTAACAACTTTCCTGCATACACTTTGTTGTCTGAAGCAGTTATAGATGAAAGAGGAGCGAATCAAAGTGTCCTTTTCACCAGTGGCTCAAAGACGTCATGCTGCAATGTTCACACGTCTGCTATAAGCTAAACTTGAAAGCAACAAGAAGCTGTAGCATCCATTCACGAAAAAGAGAGATTGGCTCTCTTCTCCTGTCCCATGTAAATCCGCTTCAATTCCAAGCCGCGACTCCCAGATTTGAGATGTTTTCATCAGAGGTATGAATTAGCAGTGTTATCAGTTCCCCAGAAAAACATCTGGACAGTCACTTTTAATACCTTTAGGTGGTTTCGAATGACTTTTTTTTTTCCTTCCACAGGTACACCGGACACTATTTCATCACCACTCTGCTGTACTCCTTCTTCCTTGGTTGTTTCGGGGTCGACCGTTTTTGCCTGGGCCACACAGGGACAGCAGTGGGGAAGCTGCTTACACTTGGAGGTTTAGGAATCTGGTGGTTTGTGGACCTGATACTGCTCATTACCGGTGGCTTGATGCCGAGCGATTATAGCAACTGGTGCACTTACTACTGACCAGAAGAGCGATGCCTGAAGTTGAACCTTCCTTGTGTTGGATACTGCATTTTCAGAGAACAGAAATGGGATGTCAGGCTGGTTTCAAACTACCCAGCCGAGATCCAGTCAGGTTACCTGTGGGGACACAAAAATACACTATTCTACTACCTGAGCGTTTTTCATGTGAAAAACACCCTGTCATGTGTACACGTCAGTCAAAAAACAAGCAGACAAAGAACAAACATTAAATCTTCTCCGCTTTCAAATCATTTCACTTTAAAATTTTCCGTCATATTTGTGAGACTGACCCACATGAGTCCACATAAAATTTTTTAAGTGTGGACTTAACAATTTCATGCAATATATTCACTTTATTCCCAACTCAATTGATGACGGCCTTCAACTATGTTGGTTGCAGCTAGAACATTAATTCTCATTGCCGCAAGATGCATGGCAGTGAGTTTTTAAACTTCAGATGGTAGTCAAATATTTCACCTTAAGGAAACAAATAATATTGCTCACAGAGATGAAATTCACATCTGGAGCAACATCCTTCAAGAAACGCCATTTTCAACTTCAAATGATTTATTTTAGTTTTGAGACCGACATTTGCTAGCCTTTTTCCCTTTGCGGGCAGATTGCTTTGCCACGTTATTTTCCTAATACTTTCATATATACACATAATGTGACTCCCTGCGGCAAGTACAGCTGCACGAGAAGATGGAGAAAAGTGCCCCCCGCCCACACCCACCACTCCTTTTCTGTTTTTTTGTGTTACATATTGGTGGTGACTGCATTTGAAATGTGATGATGTGTTAAATATGACCAATCGGCATCTCCAAATTTGAAACAATGGCCCTCAGTCGGAAAAGGGTAGAGTGCCCTCTGCGGATCGGGGATGAGATCTTGCCCCAAGTGGAGGAGTTGAAGTATCTTGGGGTCTTGTTCACAAATGAGGGCCGGAGGGAGCAGAGAGATCGACAGGCAAACAGGCCGACTTTCGTGGTGCAGAAAGAACTCAGCCAGAAGGCGAAGCTCTCAATTTACCGGTTGATCTATGTTCCAACCTTCATTTTTGGTCACAAGCTATGGGTCGTGACCGAAAGAACGATATCCCGGCAACAAGCAGCCGAAATGAGTTTCCTCCACAGGGTGTCCGGGCTTTCCCTTAGAGATAAGGTGGGAAGCTCGGTCATCCGGGAGGGGCTTAGAGTCGAGCCGCTTCTCTTCCATGTTGAGACGAGCCAAATGAGGTGGCTCGGGCATGTCCCACCAGCACCAGGCCCCAGGAATGACCCAAGAGAGACTATGTCTCCCGGCTGGCCTAGGAACGCCTTGGGATCCCCCGGGAAGAACTGGAAGAAGGGGCTGGGGAGAGTGAAGTCTAGGCTTCCCTGCTAAAGCTGTTGCCCCCGCAACCCAACCTCGGATAAGCGGCAGAAAATGGATGAATGTGACCATCTGAGTGTATGTAAAGGGAATGTTTTCAAATTATAAACCCATCAAGTGGCTTTCTCTCTCAATCCATGTGTGTTTTCATGGGACATATCTATTAAAAACCAAGTTTACATGCCCTTTGTTGGAAACCATGTTATGAACCACCCAGAAAACATTTTCAGAAACTGTATATTCTATTAGTTTCAGAGGACAGAAGTTTATAGGCCTCCACGCCGCTCCTAAATGGTTGCATTTTGCCCCTAAAATTTGAGACTACACGAGTAAAATTTCCATCTACTTGCACATGTGCAAGCAGTAAATATACAGTATATATTTTCCATTTTTTGTTGCTGACATTCTCCACACTTTGGATCAAAAGACTTGTATCACCAAAACAAAGCTGGCAGAAACAGAATGTTGTGATGACGTACGAAAAACATGACTGGCACCCGCCACGGGCGAAAGACTACTCGGAAAAGCATGAATTATGTTGCTAGCTTTGGCTGGCCCTGTCGACCACAGACTGAAAAAACAAAGGCAGTGATGCAAAGTGACGCTTTGTTGCCAGATTGTGATTTCCAACAATAAACAACAGCTGCAAGAGAGACTTATTCAACATGGATAAATAATTTGAGCTCTTACTAAGGAGAGTATTTACTAGATGTTTTTTTTTTTAAAAACCCAATTCCAATGAAAGTGGGATGTTGTGTTCAACAAAAATAAAAACAGAATACAATGATTTGCAAATCATGTTCAACCTTTATTTAATTGAATACACGACAAACACAAGATATTTAATGTTCAGAATGATACACTTTATTGGGTTTAATCATTAACGTAGAATTGTATGGCCCTGGCACATTCCAAAAAAAATGGGACAGGGTCACGTTCACCACTGTGTTACGTCACCAACATTAATGGTGCCCTCACAGATGTGTAAGTTGTCAATGTCATTGGGACTAACACAGACCCAGACCATCGCAGATGCTGTTTTTTTCTGGCATTCCGGATGGTTCATTTTCTCTTCGGCCCAGAGGACACAGCATCCACAATTTCCCAAAACAATTTAAAATGTGAATATGTAAGACCACAGAACCCTTTTCCACTTTGCATCAGTCCATCTTAGAGGAGCTTAGGCCCAAAGAAGCAGGCAGCGTTTCTGGGTGTTGTTGATAAATGGCTTTTGCTTCGTGTAGTAAGTTGCACTTATGGATGTAGTGCCCAACCGTATTTGCTGACATTGGTTTTCTGGAATGTTTCTAAGCCCATGTGATGATATCCCATACACATACTTGGTTTTTGATGCGGTGCCACCTGAGGGATTCAAAGTCCGGGCATTCAACGTTGGCTTTGGGCCTTGCCGCTTACATGCAGTGATTTCTCCAGATTCTCCAGACCTTTTGATGATATTATGGACTGTAGAAGACGAAATCCCTAAATTCCTTGCAATTGCACATTGAGGAACATTGTCCTTTCATTTTTTGACTATTTTATCACGCATTTGTTCACAAAGAGCTGAACCTCGCCCCGTCTTTGCCTGTGAATGACTGAACAATTCAGGGAAGCTCTTTTTATGCCCAATCATGGCACCAACCCATTCCCAATTAGCTTGTTCACCTGTAGGATGTTCCAAACAGGTCTTTAATCAGCACTCCTCAACTTTTCCACTGTTTTTTGCCACATTTCCCAGCTTTTTTGGAATGTCTTGCAGCCATAAAATGTTAATAATTAATTATTTCATAAAAACAATAAAGTTGGTCAATTTGAACATTAAATATCTTGTCTTTAGCAGTGTATTCAATTAAGTATAGGTTGAACATGATTTACAAATCATTGTATTTGATTTGTGTTTAACAGAACATTGGGTTTGGGGATTGGGTCTCTCTCTCTCTCTCTCTCTCTCTCTCTCTCTCTCTCTCTCTCTCTCTCTCCTTCTTCAACGCCCGGTCTTCCCAGAAGGAGCTGCAGTTTCCTCCCACAATCCAAAGCCATGCAGCTGACGAACCAAGGCAGGTGTGTGATTTTTTTTTTTCCATCTGTTGGTGCAACCTGTTGCCAACCCTGTCATGCCCCAAAATTTTTTCAACCTCACTTCAAAGCATCATCTATCCATCGAAATTGAATGAGAATACATTTCTGAACGTTGCCCCACCTCCTCCTTGCTTTTACTGCAGGTCACAATGTCATCTGTGCAGTATGCACATTATGGTCTAACGGTAACCTCATCCAACAGCCAATCCATCATTATTGCAAATATTAATTATTAATAAAAATGATCCCTAATGCACCTCCGACCTCCAACTTAATCTCCCCTGGCATAGCTACTTACCCTTACCCTTTTTACTTAATGCTTTTGTACTGCCCTCACACCTCCTGTACTATTCTAACATCTATTCTAACATATAGTGGCTTATGAAAGTATTTGGTCTCCTTGAACCTTTTGACCTGTTGTCACATTTCAGGCTTCAAACATGTATATGTATATATTTTTTTTTTTTTCAAAAGAGAGAACAGTCATGAATTTGAATGAAATTCATATGATATTCTAAACTTTTTTTTTTTTTTACGAATAAAGAAATTACTTTTTAGACCCACCTTTTGCTGTGATTACAGCTGCACGTCTTTTGGGGTATGTCTCTATCAGTTTTTGCACATCAAGAGACTGAAACGTTTGCCCAGACTTCCTTGCAAAGCTGCTCGAGGTCAGTAAGGTTAGATGGAGAGCATTTATGAAAGGCACTTTTCAGATCTTTCCACAGATTCTCAATTTGATTCAGGCCTGGACTTTGACTTGGCCATTCTAACACTTGGATATCTTTAATTATGAACCATTCCATTGTAGATATGTCGATGTTTGGTATCACCGTCTTGTTTGAAGGAAAACCTCCATCCCAGTCTCAGGTCTTGGGCTTGGTTTTCTTTCAAAATAACTCTATATTTGTATAGTTACTGCATCAAATCACCTCCCATGCTGTTGAAAAACATAATTTCTTCTCCCTCTTTGCAGTCAATTGCAGTTCTCGTTTGCCTAACCCCGGGTGAATTAGTCACAGTCTGATGCAAACAGCTGGTTTTATAAGTTCTTGCATGACAAATATTTTATTCAGAAAAACTCCTGCAAGCACTTCCAACAAAAATGAAAGCCTTTGATTTTTCTCGACAAGACCAAATATCTCCCAAGTGGATGAGAATTTACAAATTGACCATGTAAGCCATGCTCTAAATTTGGTGGCCTCTAAATGTCGTTCTTCCGCGGAATAGACTGTATGCCCCATTTTTTTTTTTGCCTGATTAAATGTCTTTGATGGTAGCTGCTGGCAGCAAGTTGCCAGGCGGGAAGAGAGCTCACCATAATTTAGTACAACACTGTCAGCGGAGTGTTATGGGATCGATGAGTCTCTGCTAGGAGGAAGGTGAAAGTTTATAAGACAGTGGAGAGGCCGGCAATGATGTACAGATTAGAGAGGAGGGAGCCCTATCCCGATATCTACACTTCCACACTTGTGCCCCTTTCATTGCAGGTTCCCGTCGATGGTGCAAGTGTGTAGGTTGTCCCTATTCTCCAAAGTGCTCTGTCGCCCTGCCCCATTTGAATCCTTGATCCTCACTTGGGCTTAGCCCGCATCCATAACCCATCAGTTGAAGCATATTGACCAAAAAAGCGTGAAACTGGTGATTTTCTGTGGAATACCTTTGCCTAAAATAATGGCTTTTCAAGTGTAAATATCGACTCATCACAATGTATATGCGAATTTTCAGTCAATTTTGAAGTCACCTATGTATTTTGTACTAGTGTGGTTGCCGTACGAAGTGAGTTTTTGCCTCAGTGACTACTGAAGCTGCATTCCGCTTGGCCGGTCGGTGTCTGTCAGCCCGATAGGACTCTTTCTTCATCTAGATGGCATCCCGTACTGGTGGAGTCCGCCCGAGGATTTGGGGATTGCCGTCTCAACAGTGGAGGCACGGAACATGGTCCACTTAATGGCCCCTGCCTCCCCGGGACCTGGGCAAAGTTCTGCCTCGCACATCAGCTCGGGCTCCTTCT